GACCGCGAGGTCCAAGAACTCAGAGAAAAAGTTGCACAGGAACAAGAAAAACAGAAAGAAACTTGCGAGCGTTTGGAAAAAAGTTCATACGCCGAAGAGCAGTTGTTAACAGCTCAAGATATCATTCGAAACTTAGAACGACAGCAAGAATTTTCTAGCGATACAGAGAAATCTTTACAAGAACATCTGAACCAATCAGAACAGAACAATGCTAATTTGCAGGTTCGGCTGGGTGAAACAGAGCGAGAGTATCGCAATATCCAAAAAGAAGCGAAAGCATTACAGCAAGAAATACTTCTTGTCCAACAAGGGTCTGCAGGAATGGAACACGAAGTCAAAGATTTAAGGAAAAAAATTGCCCAGGAAGAGGAAAAACTGGAGAAAGCATCTGAAAATTTGAAAGATCTGCAGACAGAAAATGAAGAATTGCGACAACAACTAACGGATGCGAACAATACTTTAGAGAATTCATTGCAAGAGAACAAACGCACGGTTTTTGAGCTGCAAGAAGACATCCGAGAGAAAGACAATCACGTCGAACAGCTTCAAGAAGAGTTGACTCTCGCTGAACAACGCCACGCTGAAATTAAGTCCCTATCGAGTAATAACCAAAGTGAGATTTCAGATCTTCAGGCTGAACTTATAGAGACCAAGGAACAATTTTACACAGTATCGCAAGAAAAGACAAGATTGGCGCACAGTCATAGAGATCTAGAGCAAACTGTTGCTGAAAAGGAGGAGAAGATCTTGGCTTTGGAATTAGAGAATAGTGAAGGCAAAAGGATCATTTCTGGGCAAGAAAAGAAAGTGGAAGAGCTGGTTGACAAGCTTGAAGATTACGAAAATGAGAACAGTAGATTACACAAAGAAAATGAACAATTCAGGGTGCGCTTGGATGACACATTAAAGACCCAACAAGAAATGGAGAAGTTACTGGTTGAATCTCAAGATGAAGCAAAAGCTCTTGAACAACAATTATCAGCAGCTCATGAAAGCATAACAGATTTGGAGACAGCGTTTGAGAGAGGCGAAGATAAAAATTCCCAAATGGAAGAAAACTTGCGCGAGGCCAAAGAAAGAATTACAAAGCTTGAAACACAACTAGAGGAGTCTCAAAAAGAGTGCCGCGCATTAGAGAAAGATTGCCACGAAACAGAAAAGGAGTTTGAAAACGCTCAAACATCTTTGAATTCCTGTCAGGAGAAGATTGCCAGTTTAGAGAAGAAACTGAAAGCTGCGGAAGAAAATATTTCAGACTTAGAAATGGCAAGAGACAACGGACTATCAAACGAGCAACTGCTGCAACAAAGGTTTGCAAATGCGCGCGAGAAAATTGACAAAACGGAGACAGAGAACATTGATTTGAAAGAAAAGCTTACGAAGATGGAAAGGAAGTTGGGAGATTTACTTTCCAAACAAGAAGCGCTTGAAGACAAGAGAGAAGAGCTGGAGAAGATTAGCAGCGACATTCGCCATGAATTGGAGTACGAACGAGAAAGACGACTGGCTCTCAAGCAAAAAGTTGAAGCTAAAGACAGGGAAAATGATGTTATTCAAAGAAAAGTTCAGCTACTGGAGAAAAATAAAGCAGAGAACGAAGATATTCAACACAAAGATATGGAGGAAAAAACAAAGCTGAGAGACGAATTATCACGCACTAAGAAGACATTGTCCGAGTTGGAAACAACTAGGGAGACTCAAGAAGAAAATATAACCGAGATGGAAGATTTATTGAGAGAGACGCGCGCAAAAATTGGTACACTGGAACATAAGCTGGAGGATTCAACACGAGACAACGCTGACTTACATGGTCAGCTGGAAGAACTTAACAGAAAGTTGAAATACACGAAGGAAGAGAATGTAGAGCTAGAGAAAAGATTGCAAAAGCAAAAAGAGATCAGTGATGAATTCCGGAATAATCTAGCGGAGCGAGAAGAGACCGCCTTGAATTCGAATTACAACCGCGACGCCGCTGAAAGAGCCTTGCAGTCTGTGAAGAAGGAGCTTGCCAGGAAAGATGCTAAGTTGAAAATGCAGAAAGAACAGATAGACGACATGGAAGTCGAGTCTGAAAAGACTGCCAGAAAACTCAAAGAAACCGAGGCTTCTTACAAGAAAGTTTGCAACGAGAATGATAGACTCGCGAAAGAGTTGGCTGATGTCAAGGCAAAGCTGGCAAAGCTGGAGTCGTTGTACAAAGAAAAAGCGAACGTCCCTGTCGAGTCAGAAGTCACAGTCGCTAGGGTATCCGAGCTGCAAGCCAATCCCGTTCAAGCTGACAAGTTGATTCGCGACTGGTCTGACAAACTAAGTACAGCTCAAACCAAAGTCACCGACCTGGAGAATGAACTCCTCAGAGACATAAAGAAACATGAAATGAGAGTACATGGAACAAGACCTGCATCTCAAGACTGGCGGAGAAGAAGCGCTGACAGTTTAGCCGAGTATGGCAGGCTCAGCCGAGCTCGGACTCGTCATCGATCTAACCGAAGCCGAGATAGCTCTGTGGATTCACTCAGATCAACACAGTCCATGTTTGACTACATCGATGAAAGCATCGCTGTTAATGACAAAGGTGCAAAGCAAGAACCGAACAATATACTTTCCGCTGATTCTAAAGAACGTAACCCTGTGGATTCAGATAACGAAGGTTTCTCTGGAATCCCTGTGGTAAAGGTTATTCCTAGTGAGACTGTTAATGTTCCTGAAACCGACACGCAATCAGCAGCTGCAGAAGAAGAATTTTCCAAGAAACTGGACGATGCAGAAAAGGACGCCTCCGATCTTCAATCCGTTTCACCAGCCACAGATGATGCTCCTGTTTTTTGGGAACCCGAGGCTTCATCAGAGCTACACATCGACTATCAGTCGCCAGTTGTTCCTGAGGGGCCATCAGGGCCAACAACTGCCACAGAGGATCTGTTCGATGTGACAAAAGATTTACCGGTCTTATTTTTCACTGAGTCAACATCTGTCGAAGAAACTTCCACAGATATGGTGGAAGATCCATTTGATGTGAAAACAGGGGATGTTCTTGATCTACAGATCGACTATCACCCACAAATTGTCACTGAATCTCCACCAGACACAACAAGCTCAACAGACATGGCAAAGAATGTGTTTGATGTGAGAACAGATGATGCTGTGGATCAACAGAGCGCCTATCAGCAGTCAAATGATTGCCAGCAGCCATTATTGATTGAGCCACCTTCAGACGATCTGTTTCATTTCGAGTCGCTCCCATCAGATAACTCCTCACTTACAAATGTCACAGATCTCACATTTCGATCGTCATCTCCTCCTGTCTTCCCTGACCATCCACTGCTTGTCACTTTTGATCCTTTAGACGCTCGGCAACCTCACCAAAACAACAATAACGACGAAGTGCTAGACCCATTCGAAGAACTAATGAAAATGAAAGAAGCCCATCAAGATGACAACAGAGACACTGACATGTATGATATAGATGACGTCATCATTGACGTCACAGATGGCGCGATCACTGAAGCCAATAATGACGCAATCATTGATGTTATCACTGATCCCCCACACAGCGACGTAGATGATATTGATGGTGACGTCACTAACAGTCGACCAACAAGCATCTCCAGTAAATATCACGTGACAGATGGGCCAAGAGGTGACGTTGTTGATTCACTGGAACGAATCGTACCAGTCCCTTACAACCAAAGAGAAACGATGAGTAACTTGACGCATGACTGGAGCAAGGAACCAAATGCCGCACGTGGTGATCACGCGACACATAGCGCTGGTATTGACGTCAATAATCCACCAGAACAAGTAGAACCAGTCCCCAGGCCGAGAAAGATGAAAGACAAAATGAAGCCGGCTTTGTGGCCCCGGGGAAGCAAAAAAGAGAAGACTGAAAATGATGGGAAGAGGAAAGATAAACCAGATGTGCAACCTTACAGCGTTATGATTATGGTGGATGATGAAATCGTCAAACCGCCATCCGATAGAAACTTAAATCTTGCTCAGGGAGAAATGAAGAAACAGAAACAGAAAGAGGTAATTCCTGCAAGACTTGCACTCGAGGAGGAACAAGAGGTTTACAAATCACCCAGCCAAATACGAAGAGAGCTGGAACAGGCAAGCAAGGAAAGCCAGCGACAGATTCCACAAAATACTAAGACAACACAGAAAGAAGTGAAACAAAACCCTGAAAAAGAACCCAAACAAAGACATGGGAAAAAAACTAACCAAAAAGCCGAAAACGAAGGAAAACAAAAACCTGAAAAAGAACCGAAACAAAGACCTGAAAAAGAACCAAAATTAAAACCTGAAAAAGAACCAAAACTAAAACCTGGTTCCTCTGGGAACACTTCTACTCAATATCACATTGAGGGGAAAAGCCACGGAAACAGCAACACCAGCAGTGATCAGGGCCAGGAAGGGGAACAAGACGAAGCAATGGGAAAAGGACGGCTTAAAAAGTTAATTGCTGCTTTTAACAAGTGATAAGATAATTTAGGAATAGACAGAAAGCAGTCGAACCTCACATGGCAAAATCACAATATCATCTAATGTCACTCAGAGGACATTCATTCATAATACGTTTTAGTAATTCCACTTCAAGTGGAAAGTGTAGGACCTTCTTCATAGAGGCAGCTTGTCAGACAGGTTCAATGCATACTCTTGAATCACCAGAGTCAATCTACAGATTCTTCCTACTGGAAACCTTTCATTTTGGCAACTACTAGTAAGGAGAGTTGATCATGTATCAAGACAATTTTACTTTTGTGATCATTGGTTCAATTCTTATAACCTGCAAGCAGTGTAAGGAGAAATTAGTAATCTCTAATTCTAAGTTGGCCATTAATGCAACAGCCTGCAGGCAGAGGTCTATGTCTGCATTGCTGGAAGGTAATATGGCAGAGTGTTTCATTCCAGAATATATCCATTCTCCTCCCAAAGAGTTTTTTGGTTTGAATGCCCCCCCTCCCTCCCCTTCCCCCAATCCCCCTGGAAATCACAATTTTGTTCACACTTTCCTTTAATGATTTTGGCTTTGACACTTCCCTCCCCTCTCATGGAAATTACTTCCAACAACCATCCTTGGGTGGGTATGGATATTTTCTGGAACCACACAATGGCTAAAAAAATGTTTTAGCAATGGCCAGAAGCTTCAAGTTGGTCAAAACGAACAAAACTGAATCAGATAGTTCTGGACATTTTCCTTTCAGGAAGTCGAATAATGCCATTTTAAACCATTTACCCACGAGATTTTGGTTTAAATTACAACACATAATGAATGCCAATTTTTTCACTCATCTACAGTGTAGGAACAAGCCACCCGTTATTAGCCTAATGAAGTTTTAATCTTTTAAAACAATTTTTATTGCATGCCTTAAATTTGTTTGTTTGTTTGGTTGGTTTTTTT